GAGCAGCTATAGGGCCTGTGTGCTCACCAGAAAGACAGAGACCCAGAGACAGAAAGCGAGAAATCATCCCCCAGGAGGGATGGTCACGCCACAATCCCTTCTCCTCCATTCTCCTTTTGGGATCTTGGGCGCACACACACACGTGCCCGGTATGAGTTTAGCCACTGGGTCCAGGACTCGAACTGCAGTCAACTGCATGGGAGTCCAGCAACATAGTCATTATTACACCATCTGCTGGTCCCAAAAAATATATATTTTTTGTACCGTCTCCAAAATCTAGTGTGTATTTTATACTTACAGCCTATCTCAATTTTGACTACTGCAGTCACATTTCAAGCGTTCAACAGCAGCATATGACTAATGGCTAGTACAGTGAACAGCACAGAATTACATTTCTCTACCAACTCACATGGAAATAGAGTGGGTACAGGAACATGTTCAACACTATGAGAATGCAAACAGCAAAATTTGGATTGTGGGAAGTTTTCTAGCAGGTGGCATGGTATGTTAAGGGACTAGACTTCTACATGGTGGAAAGTGGTTCAAGCCCCAGACCTGGTGGCTTGCTTTCCCACTTTGCCTTTCTTTCTCTGTGTGTCTCTCTCCAGTAAAATTAAAAAATAATAACAAATGGAATTAAATAAGTAAATAATTTTTTTTAAAAGTCCAATTTCTTACTAAATAAACTGCAAAGGATGTAGAGGGAAGGAGAGCCTATATATTAAAAGAGACTTCAATGGACAAAGCAACCAATTGCAATGTATGAACTTTATTTGGAATGTGAATCAAACTAATTATAGAAAAATCTTTTTTAGACAATCAGAGAAATCTGAACACAGACTAGATATTTGATGATAGCAAGTAATTTTTATCAATGTAAAATGGCACTGAGGATTTGTATAAGTAAAATAATACTTTTCTTTTAGAGATATATGTTAAAATATGGAGGAAATGGTATAAACTCTAGAATTTGCATCAAATTGTGATTTGAATATGCAGGTTTACTGTACTATTTTTTTGTATGTATGTCAGTGTGTGTGTATGTGTGTGTTTGAAACTATTAATAACCAAAGCTTTTTAAAAAGTACTCTTCTGATTGATACACTTTGAGGACATCCAAGAATATTAAAATTCTAATTCAACTCTGCTCAGAACTGGCTCGAAGTCAACTATTCAGTTTTTTTTCACTCTCTTCCTTCCTATACCTATTTGTGTTCTAGCCAAACAGAACTGCTTACTAATCTTAAAACACACCCGGTAATTTTATACCCTGCACAGGCAGGTTCCTCTTACATAGTACCTTATAAAAATCTCTATCGTCTAAACATTCTGCTCATCCATTAGGGCTCAGCTCAAATACATGCCACCCATCCATTCATTTGTGTTTCAAGTGCGTATTCATCAGGTACCCACCATGTGCTATGGTTCTAGTGATACCACAGTTCACAAGTCAAGGTAACTTTCACAGAGTCTTCACGCCAGTAATAGGGATAGAGATGGAGAATAAACAAATTAAACTCCACAGTGTGAAGAAGGGATGTTCTAAACTGGGAGATAAGGGAAGGCTTCTATGGTGAGGTTACATTTAAGCTGTGAGTTGAATGACTTGAATGTACCAGTCACTCAAGATCCGAGGGAAGTAACTCTAAGCCCAGGAAGAGCAAATGACAGGTCTTAGAATAAGAAAATACTTGTCATATCTAAGGAAAGAGAAATGCCACTATAGACAGAGAATAGCAGGCAGGATACGAATGGGACCAGATGAACTCAGAGTTAGGCTCGTGTAGAATATGAAACGGACTTGGGATTTTTATTCCAAGTGCTCTGAGAAGCTCATTGGAAGGTCTGACCCTCTAATATGACAACAGGCCCTGCCTGGGGTCTAGTCTGTTTCACACTTCCGTTTTCCTTGCTGTTCTCTACCTGGTATTGCTTCTCTCAGTTCCTCAAATGGAGATTCTCTACCCAGCACACAGCCTCTGTTGCTTCCTGTGCCTGAAGGCTCTCTTCCTCTTCTCCACACCAACCCTGTCTCTGAGTCAGCCTAACTCAGCAGTCCAATTCACCCATCAGATCCTCCCCTTCAGAAAGCTTTCTTTGATCCCAAGATGAAAACAGTCACTTTGGTTATGGGCTCTCACAGTCAGGTTCCTTTTCCACATTTCACTGTGTAATTGTGATTTCATGATTTTCTGATACATCTGCTTCTCCCCACAAAGCAATAAGCTCCTCAGTGCAAGTACTTTGCCTATTTTTGCTCAATGTATTCAGTACAATGCTCAACACAGCAAGTACTCAGTAAAGGTTTACTGGGACCAGCAGTTGGCATAATGGCTATGTTGCTGGACTCCTATGTAGTCGAACACAGTTCGAGTCCCGGACCTGATGGCTTAAATTTACACCAGGCATGTGTGCATGTGTGGCCAGGATCCTGAGAGGAGAAGGGATTGTGACATGGCCATCCCCGCTAGGGGGTGATTTCCCACTTTCTGTCTCTCTGTCCCCTCCATCTTTCTGGAGAATGCATGTGCCCTATAGTAAAAACCTCTTTAAAAAAAAAGAAAAGAAAAAACTAAATGAAGGCCATAAAGACATTTAATCAGAAAAATATATCTTTTTCTAGGCAATGACTAAATATGTTAAGCAAGCCAAGACTAAGTGTGGAGCTTACTGATGATTAGACTCCTGGGGAGTTTTTAAAAAATATGGATTCCTGGGGACAGCAGGTGGCATAATCGTTAAGGTACTGGATTCCCACGTGGCCAACATAGTTCAAGTCCTGGACCCAGCAGCTTGAAACTCACTCCAAGTGTGTGGGAGTGTCTGCCCAAAATACTAAGAAGAGAACAGAGGAGAAGGGATTGCAGTGTGGCCATTCCCCCTGGGGGTAATTTCTCACTTTCTGTTTCTTATATATATATATATATATTTAGATGCCCAAGGCCCACATCTGACCACTTAAGTCAGAATCTCTAGCATCTAAAACATGCAGAATCTGACCATCAGCATGTTCTAAATATCCACATAAGCCAAACATACAAACAGGGTTGAAAACCACTGCTCTGAATGAATTTCCATTCAGTCCACATTTCCCACCTTGTTCACAAGGTCTTTATAAGAAGGTTTGTCAAATACCAGCTAGAACCCAGAAAAACCTCAGCTCTAAAAGGACTCTAATTTCCCTTTGGGGGCTTAGAGACTATTTGAAAAAGGGAAATGGGTTTTGCCTCTCATACCCTCCCCATGGCGGCTCCTAGTCGACATGATACCCCTTTTTAGGGCTCACAGGAATCTGTATGGAGCTTGCCCAGGGCCACAGGGAGTCTCAGCAGAAGCGGGTCTCCTCTCCTAGCCCGACCCTTTCCAGGCACCTCACTGCAGCACTGTCGCACTCACCCGAGTGGTAAATGGGGAGCAGCTGAAGGGAATGCAACTTGACGTCATCGGTCAACACGTAGGATGAAATATCAGGTGTAAAACGTCTGTGGGTTTATAAAGACAGAAAGGAGGAAGAGTCTAATTTTCACATACTTTGAGCAGGTACACACATATTAAATGCTGGTAAATAAAAACCTCTCTTATACCGATAGAGCAGGTGCTGAATATGGAAATATTTTAGGTTTTCATCAGCTATTCCTGTAGACTCCAGGGTAACAGACACTCCAGAGTGTTGGCTTTTTTCACCAAGAAGTTCCATGGGCTTTTGGCATATAACAAAATCATCTGGCTCAAGCTGTGAAGTTTCATTACTGATGCCTTCAAAATAAAATGTAAATGTTTAACAACTTCATATATACTAACTGCCTGAATAAAAATTAGATTTCTCAATATCCTCTCCTGATTATTTATACATACACATTTTAGACATTTGCAAGGCCCGAGGGGTTTGAAAAGTCTTAGCATTGGCTCACTGATTCCTCAAACAACTGATAAAACCCACCTGGATAGGTATTATCATCCCCATGTTACACAGGAGGATACTGACACTCAGGGATAGTGCTACTAACCTGACCAGAAGTTACTCACCTAGTAACTATGAACTAGGACTAGAAAGCCATCATCTCTCAGAAGCTATTCTATTACACCTGCATACAAACCCCAGGCTATAGAATATGACAGCCTGGTCATAAACCCAGATTCTATGTAACAGGAATAACTAAATCTATAAATAGTAAGGCTTGGCACCATATGTTCTAAAGATATGTGATACACCCTTTAGAGACTGAGAGAGGTGAAGGTTTTCTCTATGCCTGAAACAAGAAAAGTTAAATTTATAATTTACCTTCTGTCTGTTTCATTGGAGTGTTTGCCTTATGTAGATGGTGTTTAACTCTCTCTCCATTTTTAGGGTTTGACTCCAGTTTCAGGATTAAGACTTCTAAGTCTGACATGACAGCAACATATCCAACACAAAAAGAAATTTCGACAGGAATGATATTATCTACGTGTATAATTAAAGAACGCTCGAAGTCCAATACTGAGAGTTCCTCGTTAATGATCTGATACTTCAAACTAAATAAAACTAACTTATTCGTGCAGCCAACAAGAAGGTCTCCTTTCACAGGGCAACAGGAAATGCACAAGGGGGCCTCGGAAAGCGGCATTTCAACAATAGACATCTGGTCTCTGAAGGTTTTGCTGAAGGGTGCCTCCACGTTATGCCCGACCATTCGGATACACACACGAGAGTTTTCGGTCCTTTTACTTCTCCAGTTCACATAAGCACGAAGAAATGTAGCTTTGTTCTTCTCTTCAATTGCTACCAGATAGTCTCCTGAGGATGAAATAAGATTATACTTAGAATGTGTAATTAGAAACACAGCCACTTGCCTTCCTGCTGCAAAATGTAATTATTAATGAATCCTCACACTAGTGGTTGAATTAAACATTGAATAGAGCAAAACTTTAGTAAAAATCTTTCTTTACTCATAAAGGATGTGCACATGAGAGTAAGAGAGAGGCACAGAAAGAGCCAGAGAGAGACAGAGGGGTGTACCCTCCAGGTGGCCTGGTCACACGGCAATCCCCTTGCACCAGTCCTCCAGCCCATCAGTCCTGGGCACTAGTACGTGCTCGGTGTGTTTCAGGCTGACTGTGGGCAGGAGATCTGAACTGCGGTCGCCATGTGGAACTAGCCTCTCCCGGGCAGCACATCACTGCTGTGCCACAGAGCCTGCCCTCTTAAGTGTATTTTTAACTGACATTAGGCACTGAGATTCTGAAATACAACTGCTCTCATTTTACTGTTTAGAGAGAGCCTGTAACATAACTCACACAACGTAAAAATTTTACATTTACTTTAAGCTTCAAGCATTTACTGTAGCTCTAGATATATAACTCTTATAAGGGCAAAAAAACCCAAAAAACCAACAAATTTCTCAAAGTGCTCAGCAATACAAGTACTGGTGTGATTTTTTTTTTAACTGTATTTTTTTAAGGTTTTTGCCATAGGGTGCATGTGCTCACCGGAGAAAAAGAGAGAGAGGGAGACGGTGAGAGAGAAATTGAGAAATCACCCCCAAGGCGAGATGGCCAAGCTGCAATTCCTTCTCCTCCAATCTCCTCTTAGGATTTTGGGCATGCACGTATACTACCCAGAGTGAATGTCTAGCCTCCAGGTCCAGGACTTAAACCATACTCTGCCATATGGGAGTCTAATGCCTTCACCATTATGCCACCTGCTGGCCCTTGGTGTATAAATGGGACCAGGACATGGCATAGTGGCTAAGGCACTGGACTCCCACATGGCCGACTGTGGTTTGAGTCCTGGACCCAGCAGCTTGAAACATGCTGTGTGTGTGTGTGTGTGTGTGTGTGTGTGCTCAAAATCTCAACAGAAAAGTGGAGAAGGGACTGCAGTGTAGCCATCCCCCCAGGGGGTGATTTCTCTCTTTCTCTCAGTCTCTCTGGCAAACACACACACCCTATAAAAAAGAGCCTCTCTTAAAAAAAAAATAAAATAAAATAAAGACTTATAAACTAAAGAACTTTAGTAGAATCTGCACTTCACCATTTCCCTTTCTCACAAAAGCCACAACTCTGAGAAATGGGATAAAATTGGAAATAAATAAAATATAAATCCAAGTTAATTTTCTCTTAACTGTTGATTGTATAAGGTTCTTTAACTTATAAAAGTAACAAACATTTGTTCTGAGAAGTCGAAACAATAATAACGATCTCCCTCCTGCAGCCCTACTGCTGGGTCCCAGTGTTAACAGACAGACTGGAGTGTACCCTTTAACACCTTTTTCTCATTTAAACAGATTGTGGAACAGTATTTTGTCTCCTTTTTTTAAACGAAATGGAATCATACTAAATAACTTTTAAAAATTATTAATAAACAATTCCTTCCAGGTCATATATGGATCCTTTTCAAGACCTAAAATATCATCCATATATATGTATGTCATAATTTTTTTTTTTTGAGAAGCTTTTGTCTTAGGGCGCATGTGCTCACCAGGGAGACAGAGAGACGGTAAGAGAGAAAGTGAGGAACCACTCCGTAGGGGTGACTGTGGCCACACCACAATCCCTTTTCCATTCTCCTCCTGGGATGATGAGTATGCACATACTTGCACACAGTGTGATTTTTAAACCAGAGGGTCCAAGACTCGAACTGTGGTCAGCCATATCATAATTTATTTAATAATTCATTTTTATTTTTAATTTTTGTTATAGGGCACGTGCACGTGCCAGAGAAAAAGAGAGAAAAAATGAGCAAGCACTTTTCATTAGGGGATGACCACACTGCAATCCCTTTTTCATTCTATCAGGATTTGGGGAAAGCACATATATACATTCGGCATGTTTTCCAAGCCACAGGATCTGGGATTCAAACTGTAGTTGGTCACGTGGGATCCAAACGCCTTCACCACCACACCACCTGGTTGGCCTTTTCCTTTCTTAAAGTCTCTGACATCCTCTGAACTTATTCTTTTATTTCAGTGGAGGTCACTTAAATTAAAATGTTTAATCTTTATAATCTTGTGGGTAAGGAAAGGAGATAAATCAGGGATCTAAATTTAGTCCCTCCAAATGTAGACCCTATCATACTAGCATTAAGCAAATCAGCCTTGTTCCAATGAAGTGAAACGGAAACACTGCTGTTCTGCTAACTGCCCACACACATTCAGCAAGCAAGTGGGTACTGCCCCTCTCTACAGACGTTCGCACCCCAGAGTCTAAGGAGCTGGAGGGCTGAGGAAAGGGATTTCAATGTGACATGGCCCCTCTCTCTCATTCACATGCATTCATTCTCTCATACAAAATTGTGTAAACTGCGAACAGGATTTGTGGTCTGGCTCTGCAGTACAGTGGTAAATGCACTGGTAAAGAAAACCTCGCTCTCACATGGCAACCACAGTTTGAATCTTGGACCTGGTCAGCCTCAAACATGCCCTGCCCACGTGTGAGCGCCCAAGATTCAACAGGAGGAAGGGGACAGTAGCCTGACCAGATCTGTAGAAGGTGCTCGTCTCTCTCTTTTTCTCTCTCTCACAGGTGCACACATAAACTCTATCTTGAATAAAGAAAAAAAAAACCTAAGAATGTTTTTTTTTAGTTACACGGAAAGCTTTTTATTTACCTATAAACATGTCTATTTCATTGATAAAGTGCTAATATCAACTGATGTTTATAGTCTGAATATGGTAGTCAGGGTCTATGTCACACTGTGTTTTTAAACTAATGTCTCTCTGTAAATGATGTACCACCATTTGCTAAGCAGGTCAACATATGTCTCTCCCTCACTTAATAGGTCAGGAATCTGAGATGAGACTAAGTAAGTAACGTATGAAAGACAACACAGCCAACCAATCATTGAGCTGGGACTTTAACCTGGGTCTGGTTGGCTCTAAAGCCTAGCTCATCCCCCAAGAATGGTGCCTTTTAAACTCCCAGAAGAGAGCTGTAAGTCCACAGGTTTCCCTGGCAGTTATAACCTTCATAACAAAGGGAACTGATTTTTTTAAGTACTATATGCCCAGTGCTTTAATTTACTCCTTTTGCAACAGTTGTATCTTCATTAAGTAAACTTCAAAACCATTCTCATTTATACTCTTAAGTTGATTTTTAAAGATCAGTAAGCTGGGCATGGTGGCATGGTGGTTGAGGCAGCTCGATTCCACATGGCCAACTGTATGGTTTGAGTCCTGAACTCAGTAGCTCGAAAAACACATGCCCAAAATCCTGAAAGGAGAATGGAGGAGAAGGGATTGTGACATGACTATCCCTCACGGCGGCTGCTTTCTCACTCGCTCCTCTTGTGAGCACATGTACCCTCTGACAAATTAAAAAATAAATAAATAAATAAAAAGGTTAAGTTTTAGACCTTAAAAAAAGGTAAGCTTTCCCTTGTATATAGCAAGATCACAAACCTAGTTAACAGTCATTATGAAATTTTTTTTGGAGAGGTTTTTGATATAGGGTTCATGCGCTTGCCAGAAAGACAGAGAGAGACAGAAAGTGAGAAATCACCCCCTAGGGGGGATGGCCATGCTGCAATTCCTTCTCCTCCATTCTCCTTGGGATCTTGGGCACGCACGCACACACACCCGGCATGAGTTTAAGCCACTGGGTCTGGGACTCGAACCACGGTCGACTACATGGGAGTTCAACGACATAGCCATTATGCTAACTGCTGGGCCCCAGTCATATAGAATTTAAGAAATGGCTGCACTCCTATAACAGAACTGACATTAGAAGGCAGAAATAATACCTGAAACAACAAAAATATTTTAAGATCTTCGGAAAAGTTGAGGGAAGGTGGGTTTGGTGGGGTAGGAGGTGGATGGGTGGGCTAAGGCTGGTCTGGTACACTTGTGCTAAAGGACAAGGGCCCTGTGGTCTTGTCCTCCCTGCCTGGCATCCCCAGACACTCCATGAGGTGTCCAGTGCCAGAGCTTCTCACACACCGCCAACCCTGGTCGCCAGGTGCCCCTCTCTCAAGAGCACGCAGGTTCTCACCACCCCCTTCTCTTCACACGCAAAAGCCTAAATTAAGCTTCCTTTCACGATGATGATGTTAAGGGCCCTCTTTCCTTCAAAATACCTACCTACTTTTTCTCTAATGCCCCAAATTTTACAAGAGGAGAAAAGCTTTCAGATAATTAGATACATAAAAAATCTGGAAATGTGTGTTTGTTTGGGTAAGAGACCTGCAAAGTATCTACAGAAAATACAAATGACTGGTTCTTTCCATTTGGAGCCGGGGAATACTTCCTTTACGCACTGGGCACTGAGGACAGGAATTCCCTTGTCTCAGGTACTGTAAACAAGATGAACAAAAGGAAAGGGCCAGAAGCGGAAGACAAGTTATCTTATCGGCACAGCCAGAGTCAGCCCGATCTATGTGCAGTTATGAGTAGACTAAGAGGAGCTGTATCCAGGCGAGGACTGAAAGCTGCCCTTGAGTTATATGACCCAAGATGCTAATGTCATCCCACATGACTCCTGAACTTTCTTTAAGGCGGCCAACTGACAACACAAACATCTCTGTTCTTCAAGGTCTCGTGAATAAGGTTACCAAGGCTATTCACAGTCTCCGGAAGCCAGTGTGGTTCTAGGTCATTCTTCTCAATCCTGGATAAATATTTGACTTACCCCAATGCTGACTTCACCCTAGAGAAATTAACACTCTCTTTGAGGGTGTGGTCCAGGAATCAAGACTTTTTAATTTTTTCTTTTCAGGTTTTTGCCACAGGGTTCACATGCTTGCAGAGAGATGGAAAGTAAAAAATCACCCCCCCCAGAAGGATAGCCATGTTTCAATCCCTTCTCCAGTCTCCTCTCGGGATTTTGGGCATGCATGTGCATGCACCTGGATTAATTTTCAAGCTGCCCAGTGTGGAGCTTGAACCATGGTCCACCATGTCAGAGTCCATGTGGGAGTCCAGTGTCTTAGCCAACACTCTATCTGCTGGCCTGAATAAGGATATTTTTTAAGGTCCCCAGATGATTCTTACACACCGGTAGTAGTGACCAAATGATCCTGAGAATCACTCAGAGGAAAGAATGCTAGGGGTTCATATAATGCCTGCCACTTCAAATTCTCAAACAAATGTCCACTTGGAAGAATAGAGTCAATCATGTAAATTCAGTGTGTATGTCTTTCTCTCCCCCCCACACACACACGTGCACACTGAAGTTGAAATTGGTGAGTTTGCCACTCAGTGGGACTCCTGAAGGTGTGACTATCCATGCCTAAAAGGGGGGCAAACTACCATTATTTTAAAAGGTATAAGCAGAAGAGATGAGTTTCAGAAATAACAAAAGCAGAATCTTCCGGCTGAAAGTGAACTTATGGAGCTTTGCGCAGTGGCAGTATCGTAGCCAATGAGGTTTATCCGAGGCGCGATTATTGCTAATTGAAAGTGAACTTATGGAGAGCTAAACAATGGTTTCAAACAGGTCAGTGGACAAATGCAGGCCCCTATTGTTGGTCAAAAAGGGAAAAAAAAAAAAAAAGCACAGTAAGTTGTTCATAAAGCTAAAATATCCAATGTTTGATGCTGAGTGTTTTTTCTTTCAGAAATAACAGTGAAAGGAGTTGAGCTTTTCCTTTTTTTAGAAATATGCGTCTTTACTAGACAAGATGGCTAAAACGAATGTCAGCTCCACAGTTTTCGACATCCACAAAATTCCAGTGTCTGGAAATCACTGATCTAACAACTCCCCTTACTCTACTGTTGTTCTGTGTTAACTTGAGAAGTGAAAGTAAACCGGCAACTTAATATAAACTCACAGGAGACCACCAGCAGAGCAGGGATTAGGGGGACATCTCCAGTCCTCCTGGTTTGCCTTCTGCACTTCGTTACTGATACAGCCACCAGCCACCACCTTTCCCATGGTACATTCTGCACTTTATACCCATACTGAAAACTAGGGATCAAAGTTTAAGTGTGTGAGGCAGCTAAAAGAATCCTACGGTGAATCCTCTGTATTCTGAAAATGCTTCCATTTTTAAATGTTAGATTTTTGAAAAAACAAGGATATACTCCAACAGTACTCCTCCCATACCGCTTCACACATCTGGTGGGAAAATAGTGGATGCTGCTACAGCTGTTTAAGGGAGGAGAGGGTGTGTGTCTATGGCCTGCATTCTTTTATTTCTTTTTTCTTTTTTGGAAAGGTTTTTGGCATAGGGCACATGCACTCGCCAGAAAGACAGAGACAGAGAGAAAGAAAGTGAGAAATCACCCCCCCAGGGGGGATGGCCATGCCACAATCCCTTCTCCATTTTCCTCTCCTGATCTTGGACACACATGCATAAGCGTCCGGCCTGAGTTTAAGCCACCGCGTCTGGAACTGGAACTGTGGTCCACTACATGGGAGTCCAGCGACATAACCATTACGCCAACTGCTGGTCCCAAGGCCTGCATTCTTTATCCACACTAAAAAGCCAGCACAAAACTGTGAGCTTTCAAAAACTGACCAGAAGTGGACGGAGGTAAAGGGGCTGGCTATAAATAACTGCTGAAACTGGTAGCTGTAGGTTCAGGATACTGTTCTCCCTACTCCTGCTTTTGTATTTCCTTGAAATTCTCTACCTTAAAATGTTTGGGATAAATGAAAACCAGCCACAGGCCTTATTGGCTAGGGCTCAAGATGATCAGGGCAGGCGGTGTCCTCCAGGCTCCTGGCAGGCACACAATTACGGTTGCCACGGCAACCGCACGGAATAGCGCACCTCCAGCAACCAGCGGCCGGATTCTGCCAGACCATCTGGTAAGTACCGGGAGGTACGAAGCCCCTTCTCCACCCAGAACGGCCGCCTAAGCGCTCGGTCCGCTAGGGAGAAGGCCCCAAGCCGGGGCCTGGGCGCCCCCTGGCCCCACCACTACTCACCTGCCTCGCTGTAGGCTAGGTGCAATACCCGGCCCAGTGTGGAGAAGGTGCACCTCGGCTGGCACAGCTCCTGGCCGGCCACTGAGAACGCCTCCACCTTGCAGCCCGCCGCCACAAACAGCGCATCGCGCCCCCCGCCGCAAAACCGCTCTGGCTCCAGCTTGCAGGGCACCACCTGCTGCGACCCGAACGGGTGCAGGTTGTACAGCTGCACCATCCTGGCGCCCGGATGCGGGAGGCCTGGCCCTGCCCTCCCCAGCCTGCCCGTCTAGCGGGGCGCCCGGAGACCCCGAGCTGGCCTCGCAGCCAGGACCACTTCCGCGAGCTACTGAGCAGCGCCAGGTCACGTGAGCGCTGACCCGCCCCGCCTGCGGCTCTGCTTCTTAAAGAGGCCGCCGCCAGGCCCGCCTAGCCTCGCCCGCGCTCGCGCTGCGCTGGGCCCTGCGGCTCTGAGGTCCCCAGCTGACACACTGAGAGAAAGAGCAAGAGAGATAGAAAGAAAGCCACCAGGTCTTGGATTTGAACCGTGGTGGGCCATGTGGGAGTGTCCAGTGCCTTAACTACCACACCACCTGCTGATCTCCCTGATTCCTTTCTTTTCCAAAACAAATTTAAATGAAGCGGGTATTATAGCTACCCCTTTTCAGTGTATCTAGAAAACAGGCTTGTAAGTATAGTTTGAGGAATGCTATTATAGATGGGCATACAGGGACAAAACAAAAGAGCAAAATTTTCTTCAATTTGCAGTTCAATCACCTTCATGAGCCCTTTATTCTAGGAATTTATAGATTCATATGTGCAATCGGGTTGAAGTTCAACTTGCCTCCATTTCCTATGGCTTCCAGATGAGTAAGCAGCTGTCTTTCCCCCACCAGTGGAGATTTTCTCATACTCAGGGAAGTAGACAAGGGGGTAGCTCAGGGGACAAACTAGGGTTGCAAAAATTATTAAAGGCTCCTACAGAAAACAGCCAAACAGTACACAACTCATTTGTTCTAGATACAACGCTCATGAATATCCCTTTTCCTTTCCACAAATAGCTGCAGTATTGTCTTTTAAAATTTTTTTATTAATTTCTCATTTGAGATTTACCTTGATACTAATTTCATCTTTTTAGGTGTTTGCCATAGGGCATGTGCACTTGACAGAGAAAGACAGACAGACACAGTGAGAGGGTACGTGAGAAATTATCCTCCCAGGGGGATGTGGCCATGCTGCAATCCCTTCTCCTCTGTTCTCCTCTTGGGATTTTGGACATGCAGGCACACATGCCTAGCATGATTTTCAAGCTACCAGTTCCAGGACTCAAACTGTGGTCAGCCATGTGGGAGTCCAGCGCTTTAACTGCCATACCACCTCCTGGCCCCACTAGATATTACAATAATTTTAATCCAATTCACCTGGTTTAAAAAAAAAAGTCTACTTTGTGTCCAATCAATAGTGTGGTGGTTAAGACGACTGGATCCCATATGGTTGACTACATAGTTTGACACTCCTGGCTTGACAAACACACCAGGCACTCACGTGTGTGTGTGTGTGTGTGTGTGTGTGTGTGTGTATGTGTACACACCCAGAGTCCTAGAAAGAGAAAGAAATGGAGAAGGGTCTATGGTATGACCATCCCCAATGAGGAATGCCTGCTCTGTGTTTCTGGCAAGCGCATGTAACCTCTAGCAAGTTTAAAAAAAAATTGTGTTTAACTCCCAGAGTTTTTGATTTATTAAGTCTAAGGGGGGAGTCAGACAAATTCTATTTCTAACAAAATCCAAGGTGATGTGGTCTCCAAATCAAACTTTAAGAACATTCTCTAAACTACTTGGTTGGATGAATCTGAAGTCTTACAAAAGTCAGGTTGATTTACCCTGGGGGCTAGCAGCAGTTGTGGACCCACAGGGGAAGGGGCTGAGTTTGCTTCCCAAGGTCTCTCTGTACATGTTGAGCACACACATGTTCGTGATCCTGGGTGACTGAGGCTGGGGGTAGATGGCAGTGAGAGGACCCTGTTGAGAGTGCTGTCTCTTTTTCTCATAGAAGAAATCATTTTAAACATTATTTACAATGGTAACTATCTCATAAGAGAAAGTTTTAAATGTTCATATGTATAGTGTTTTATACCAACCACAGTACAGGTTATTTTGGCATTAAAATGAATCCTTGCACAAATCAACATTTATTGAGCTCAGCGGAATACAAAGGGCATAGAGCAGATAATCAAGATGAGCTGCATTCTAATATAATCAAGATGACCTCCATTCTAGTTTCAGCTCTACAACTAACTGTGATCTTGGTGCTATCAAAATCCAAAATTACAATTTAAAGATCTTAATTGGATCTATTTGCAATTTTTTACATTTTTATACATTCAATCACTGTGTATTATTACAGCATGCAAAATGAATTTTCCCAGTATGAATACACTGTATATTAGTCCAGTCAAAGATATTATCATAGGGGCCTGCAGATAGTGTGATGATTAAGGGCGTTGGACTCTCACATAGCTGATTGCAGTTTGAGTCCTGGAATTGGAGGCTTGCTCTCTCCCTTTCTCTCTCTCCCTATCTGGTCAAATCGAAATAAATAAGTAAAGTGAAATAATTTTTTGAAAAAATATATTATCATACATGTTATCAACAGATAACTTTTTATTTTTGTATCCCTTAAATGTTCTGCTTCTTTATCCCCTTGATTCCCTTCCTCTCACTCTCCCCATTTTCCACCCTCCTCCCACACCGTATCTAGTATCCACAATTGTTCTCCACATTTTTATATCTTCCAATCTTTCAGTTTCTGCCATAGAGTATGGTCATTTGGTATATATGGAATGGGGATATGCAATGTCTTTCTTTCACAGTCTGGCTTGCTCTGTTTAGCATTAATCTTCCGTATTTGTCCACTTTCTATCAAATGTCAGGGTCTCATTCGTTATGGCTTAGTAATATTCCATAGCCTATATGTGCCATACTTTTTCAATCCATTCATTTGTTCTCAGACATATGGGTTGGTTTCATATCTTAGCAATTATGAATAATGCCACAATAAACATGGATGTACAAGTGTTTTTCCTTTAGGTAGATACCCAGGAGTGGAAATGCTGGATCATATGGTAGTTCTGTTTGTAGGTCTTCGAGGAACCTCCATATTGTTCTCCACAGTGGCTGTACTAATTCACATTCCCGTCAACAGTGTAGGAGAGTTCCCTTTTCACCACAACCTCCCCAGCACATATTATTTTTTATTTTTTAAATCTGACGGGTTGGGTGGTATCTCATTGTGGTTTTGATTTGCATATCCCTTATGATAAGGGATGATAAGGGATGTCAAGTATTTTTTCATTTGCTTTTCGACTATTTCATTTGCTTTCTGTCTTTCTTAAAGAGTTTGCTGTTCACCTCATTTTTCCCATCTTTTAATTGAGTTGTTTTTTTTTTCAGGTAAGTTGCTTGAATTTCCTGTATATTCTGATTATCAGTCCCTTATCTCAGGCATATTTTCAAATACATTCTCCCATTCCAAGGGTTGCTGCTTCACTCTAATTATTTCTTTTGTTGTGTAGAAGCTTTTTAACCTGGTGTAATCCCACTTGTCTATTTTGGGATTATTGCTTGTCTGTTGGGGGTCTTATTGACAATTTTAGAATTCAGCTAACATTTCATCCTATAAAGTAAGGTGCTCTTCATTTGATGACCAAATTCCATTCTTATTGCTATGTCATTAAAAGAATTGGTGACAGTCTAGGAGCTTAAGGCAGATGTCTTAGGATATGTGATGGTGCCACAGGGTACACATTAAGTGATTGAGAAAGTCATGACGTATTATTCTTTGTAAAAATGCATCATGACTTTCCCAGCAACCCAGTATTTTTCAATAGCTGCATCACACTAGAATAACATAATTCTATCCATACAAAAAGCATATATTATGCAAGTACCAGAAAGCGACAAGACACACAACACAGTAATATAAACCCAGCGTAACTGTTTCTACTTATTTTGAATACTGCTACAGGCATACAATAAAGTGCAAATTTGTAAGTAAAATATGTAGTCTGGCATGATGGCAAACACTTCACGTAGTGAATACTAGACTGTAGGAATGAGACAAAGACTGAGAAAGGGGATTCCTGACACTCACACGGACTGATAAAGGGGACACTCTGCACTGGAGAAATGGTCATAAGGTCCAGTGGTCGTTAGATAGGTATTTCTTTCTGTGAGGAGTATCCAGATGAGCTGAGCAGAAGAGGTTGGTTTTATAGACAGAAGTGCTGAAGAAAGCAGAGACAAAGAACCAACTAGAGATTGGTCATTTCAGTGTAACTTTCTTTGTAAGGAAGGAACCAAGAGAAAAATAACTGGTTAACATTAGGTTACTTCAGGTTATTTTTTGTTGTGAGAATTAAAAATAGAGGAAACCTCATATCATGCTGATTGAAACTGGCCTGTCTGGGAAATTAAGCCGTTATATGTCATTCTCCTGATTTCCCACACAAGTCATATAAGCAGCCTAGTGTACATCTGGTTACATGGAACATTAGTATGATTGATTCCATTTTGATTGCTCTGTACTAGTGCAGGAGCTTGGTCTAAAACAAGGCCTCCTATAATTTTTATGTAACAGTACCTATCTCACTCTCCCTCGACCCGAGTTTCTCTATCTGTGAACAGAGGAGAGAGGGTAAGATGATCTCTAAGGGGTCTTTCATACCTAAAACTACCTGATGATTGTTAGACCCCACTACATATAAGCCAAAGTGCTAAATGAAGGAGTGGTAAAATGTAGAGCTTGCCTTTTAGCTGGGGACATAACATGCACACCCAGAAAAGGATACCAACCCAAGCCAGAGGGAAATTTAAAATAACAGTACTCCGGAATTAGGAATGATGGTATAATGTTAGGAAACAGAGACTAGCAGATGGTGTAATGGTTATGTCACTGGACTCACACATAGTCAACCATGGTTCGAGTCCTGGCCCCGGAGGATTAGAACTCACACCAGGCACATGTGCATGTGTACCCAAAATCCCAAGAGGAGAATGGAGGAGAAGGGATTGCAGTGTGGCCATTTCCCCTGGGGGGGGGGTGGTGGTGGTGATTTCTTGCTTTCTGTCTTTCTGTCTCTCTCTGGTGAGTGCATATGCGCTGTAGCAAAAATCTATTTTTTAAAAAAGATAAAAACTCCTTCACTCGGTCTCATACTGAACCAAGAAACAGGAATTTGGACCTGTTCTATAATACGGTATTAATATTTTTACAGCAGAACCTCCTACTTCTGTTCTTCCTTCTTTTCTTTTTCTTTCATTTGTCTTTGCTTCTTTGCTTTCTTTTTT